TTGGAGGAGTTTCGCACCTTATAGCACGCGAGGCCTTGACATGCATTGTGTAGGACGCAAGATAATTCTACGTGTACAGTTTGGGAGATATTTTTCCAATTAATGTTGTTTGAGGATTACTATTCCAATAAATTATTTTTAGGGTTTTTTAATATAATAACGCCAAATGCTAGCCAGTTACACACGTTTTAAAGTTACTGGTTAAATGATTCTTATTCCAATAACACTAATTAGTTACTATACAAAGGAAGCAATCCCTTCATTGTTTATTTGCTGCTATGGGTTCTTAATGTATATTCTTTCTATAATTTTTTAACAGTTAAAATTTAGGGGACACCGACCAGCATCTGGTTCTGCTTTTAGGGCACATGTAATCGAGCGTTTTAACGAGTCTCAATTCATGTGTGCAGTGTGCGTTTCAAACCCCTTTTTTTCAATGTTGTATAAACCTCATGTAATTATATAGAATTAAGATTACGATTGTTAGATGAATAAAAATAAATGATTAAGATTAATATAAAAAATTTAATATTAATCATTTATCTTGCTCCTCTAAAATAAATATAACCCTATATAAATATATATATTTGCATAATGATTTTCTCATTCTTTTTACCAATATAATCTGATTTTCACTTATTCATTTACTAATTTGCATAATCTTTGATTCACCTCTGCTCAACTGAATTTTCACTTATTTTTTTCAAATATATTACACCATTTTCACTCCAATTTATTTATTTATTAACATTATACTTAACTAGAAAAAGTTTATTTATCTTTTTACCAACCGAATTAATCATGTGCTAGTTACATCATTTTACTGATATATTAAATACATAAAGCTCTGAGTCATGAAGTAAATATTAAAAAAATAATGGAAAAACAAATTAAGCACCGTTCTATTAAATAAAAACTAAATCCTTCCCAACCAAGGAAAAACAAAGACTGAAAACCGCGACCGAGTCGGCCGTTTTATACTCAATTTCACTATATATATATATATAATAAAATAAATAAATATATTTTTTAATATATATTGTAAACAATCTTATATAAATCTTTATATAATTGATGTAAATAAATTCAGTTCGATTGATAACTGCAATATGAATATAAAAACGGAAGACAGAGAGAAAGGTGTTCGAAGTTTAAGCCAACCTTGAATACTTGTTTTACTCCTCTCGTTTAATGTAAAATGTTTTAAAGGGAAGATAGCAGTGCTACTGTAAGCCATGTTTTGCTTAACGTCACACTTGTTTTTTATTTATTTATTTATTATTATTCGACCATTTTTTGACCATCACTATGTATGGATTGTTTTCTTCTCTCTTTTAGATTTTAATATTACTATAAAAATTATATATTTATATATAAAAGAAGTTGTCTCCTTCTTTTTTAACAGCAAGCCCAGGTTTCCATGCATTCCTTCACATGCATTTAGCCATATTAGCCGAAACCCTAACTTTCCTTCTCCAACCCTCTTCTCTTGTTCGTTTCTTTACCATTTTAACCACTCTCTTCATGTTTTTTGTTGCCAGCCAGTGAGTTCCTCACACCTACATATTATCATTCCTTAAAGTTAATTGCATTATCTATATTATCGAACATAATTTTCTAAAACATATATGAAATAATCGATGTAATTTTCTTAAACTCAAAACAATCATTTCATTATTTACAATTCAATCACATTGACTAATATTTTTCATCTAAATATTATTCTCAAATAGAGAATCTTTAGTTAAAAAGAGTGAGATTATTATTATAATTGAAATGAAATTAGCATTGTCAAAATATTAATTATATAATCATCCCAAAACAAAATAATTTAACTATAAAAACAAAACCCAATTTTAGTTTAAAAATAATCAATTTGACAAAACATTAAAAACTTACTACCCTGAAAGTAGAGAAGATAGGGACTATAATACTAATAGCCAATTAGTACTATTCTGTTTAGCCGTTCATTTTAATTATTATTTTTTATCAAATGGGTGAAATAATTACCATATATGCGAAAGGAAGGGGAATGTGTAACACTGTCATTCACTTGACATAAAAGCTAATTATGTTCTAATGTTGATCTAAATATAATATTAGTATAATAATTAAAGTCTAAAACAAACCAAAAAGTGTGTTTTTCACCTTTTGTTAAGCAAGGAAAAAAGTAGATGAAAAAGTTTGAATAATAGGATACAAAATCCTTAAACCAAGGAAGCTAAATAGCTAGAATTCATGAATCGGTTGATGAATCTAACAACATTAAAGATCAAACACTTAATTTCCCTTTAAACTATTCAATTAACATGTGTTTATAAATGTGGAATAAAAATATTATATTTTCTTTTCCGATTGCATTTGTAAAATTCACTTTTAAATTGTTAATTTTTTTTGGTTACATAAATTGTTAAATTTCATATAATATAAATATTTATTATGAATCAATTGAACTAAGTTCCGAATTTCATTATTAAAAATATTTAATTATAATTTAACATTTTCTGTTACATTTATTTTATTGACTTTTATAAAAATATAGTTGTGATAAATATACTCTTCTTTTATAAATACAAATTCAACTAATGTAGTTATGTAATAGCCAACATTCTCCATGTTAATTAAAACATAGGATGACACGGTTAAATACCATGAACATAATATAAATTAAAGTGGTGTTGTTCTCTCTTGAAATGTTGAGTTTGAGCAGTTACGTCAATACTAATAAGGTGTGTACATTGTTGATGACTAATAATGATTATAAAAAGATAATATCTTGTAATCGTCCTAGACTATTCAAATAGGTATTTGATTTCTCCTCATCCAACGATCTTAAAAAGATGTATAACTTTTAGTTTTACACTAGTTGTAAGTATATTTTAATCCTATATATATAAGCATCTTGTTATGGATAATACTGTATAACATAGATTCAAATATTTAGGATATTCAATTTATTTTATGAAATTAAATGTTAGAGATTTAGATGTTAAAACTATTTCCGATTAATAAATACAGTAGATATTAGTAGACACTTTCAAGTATTCATTATGTGACATTGTATTATGCAAATGTGAATTATCTAAATTTGATTATAGATTATAGAAGATTAAACACATTTACTTCTAAGGAGATTTGAATCTTTTAACTTTAAAAAATCCAACAATACTGAAAATTTTTCTCCTCCTCTCTCTCCTTTTTTTTCCTTTCTTTCTTTACAATTTGTGTTAATTTTATTAATTAATTAATTTTTTTCTCTAATTTTATTTAAATGGTGGGGTACTGTTTTGATGTTGGTTGCTGAACGTCGATTATATTTTTCTTTGTTTTTTTAGTTTTTAAATAAGAATAATTATGTCTTTGTGACATGTTCTCTGTCTTTATGACACGTTTATCTATATCTTTATGGCACATTTCTCTTTACCTTTTGGTAGCTTACATTTTTTTGTCGTTTTTTCGTTTATCTTTTTTACAAGGATGGATTTGACATCGCCACGACTGAACAAGATGACGCTTATTTGTTATCCTGCAGACTTTATCTGCTTTGGACTCTCAGATTAATTTGGATATGTGTTTTGCACTCGTGGATAATTTTCTCACGTCACTTGACTCTGATTTGCGATTTGTTGGTGGTCCATCAGTAGTTTCATCCCCTTTTGTGGTTCGTTTACCGATGCTATCATATTTGTTCGTATCTTTATTTTATTCGAGCATTGGTTAGGTTTTTTAACCTTTTTCTTTTATGATCCTTGTGTGATCTAGGTGGCTAGTTTCTTTGTTAATTGTTATAGGAAAATGTCCTAATTATAATTTAGTTTACGTTTATAGTTATGCTCGTAAATCCTCATTGCAATTCTGAATATTTTCTATTTTTAATAAAACTAGAGGTTTTCTATCAAAAACTTTAAAAAATCCATTCAACAAAAGATTTCAAGGTTTGTCCTATTTTTCTTTCTTTCTTTAGCTATCGCCAGTCTCATTTTTCTTCATCTTTGTGATCGACAACGACATCAGCCTTAGTGTTGATTGTCGACCGCTGATACTCATTGTATTTTTATTTTTTTCTTGTTTTTTATTTTTAATAATTATGCCTTTTATGACATATATTCTTCTTTCTTTATAGCACGTTTTTCTGTCTTTATGACACGTTTTCAGTTATTTGACTGTTATTTTTTATTATTCTTTTTTTAGGATTAGATTTGACATCACCACGACTGATTAGGATGACGCTTTATTTGTTATCATGTTGATCTTCCCTGCTTTGGACCATCAGATTGGATTTGAATACACAAATTGCGTTCGTGAATAGTATTTTCACATCTCTCAATTCTGATTTGCGATTTGTTGTCGACCTTTCAATAACTTCATCTTTTATAGTTCGTTTGCTGATGTGGTCAGATCTATTTGTATCTACGTTTTATCCGAGTTTATTTGGTTATATTTTTTAAACCTTTTCCTTATATGGCCTGGCTAGCTTTTTCGTGTTTAGAAAAATATCTTTATTATGTGTTTAGTTTACGATTGTAATTGTAAACCTTCATTGTAATTTGGATAATTTCTACTTTTTAATAAAATTAGCGAATTATATGATTTTTTTTTATAAAAAAAACAAACTCATATTTATACGAATTCAAATACTCAACATTCACTTTTAAATTTTAAATTCATTTTTAATATAAATAATGATATATAATAATGTTTACTTTATATTTAGATTTGTATAATAATATTTAAATAATTTATAACTTCAAACCAAATTCAAATATTTTGAACTAATTTAAGGATTCCAAAAATTTAAAATTAAAAAATTTATAAATATCTAATTATACTCTAGATTTCCTACCCTGGATTTAGGAGGCAATGAAGTAATTTCAAGTATAGGAGGTGGAAGCAACAAAAGGGTGATTTGGTAACTTGAGGAAGTAACATTACATCAAGGCTTATATAAATTCACCTCCTCTCTCATGTATTCTAGACCGTGTATTCATGTGCTTTGTTTTGTTTTCTTTGTATATTTTAAACCTAGTTTTCAGTTTCAACACCATTATTTAGCTTTCTTTTTTCCTCACCCTTCATCATAGTAATGGAAGATCAAGGTCCAGAGACTAATAATTCGAGCCATGGTTCCGAAAGAAGTGAACCGGTTAGGTCAAGGTGGACGCCAAAACCGGAACAAATCCTCATACTCGAGTCCATCTTCAACAATGGCATGGTGAACCCTTCAAAAGACGAAACCGTCAGAATAAGAAAGCTGCTCGAGAAATTTGGTTCCGTTGGGGATGCTAACGTCTTCTACTGGTTCCAGAACCGGCGTTCCAGGTCTCGCCGCCGTCAACGGCAGATGCAAGCCAGCCTTGCAGCGGGTTCCGAGCAAAGGAGTAATAACCACCAAGCGCAACAGGTACTCGGCGGTGGTGCAATTCAGTATGACAGTACTAATGGGATGGCTGCCGCCGCAGCCATGAGGTTTGCACCGCCGTCTTACAACGTCGGTTCCTCCTCTTCTTGCGGTGTTGTGGCGGATGATGGCTTCGAGAATTTGCTTTCAATGTCTGCTCAAATGGGGTTTCAAGAACTTGGCCAAAGCTCGAGTGTTTCTGAAACTTCAAATTTGCACTATCAAACTGGTAATTGCATGGTGGAAAAAAGAGTTAATTTCTTGGTTTAATTTGCTTTTTTTTAATCCTATTTTCATTTTCATTGAACTTGATTATATATGTTGAGAATTACTGTGGATTCTTGTCATCTACTTCAAACATTTACTTTTTTATTCATCCAAATTTATACTATGAATATTCATGGATTTGAAAAGTCAGGTGTTTATTCTTTTTGTTTTTTCCTATAAACATTAATTAGTATTACTACCTAATGACAATATATTCTATTTTTTAGTTAATCTATATTTTTATTGAATTACATAAAATTAATAAATTAATTAAACAGTTTTTATATAGTTTTAGTTAATATCATTAAATCACTGCAAATATGGTATCATATACATGTTTTCAATAAACGTTTGTAAGATTAGAAATTATATAAAATAAAGTATTTATGATGTGGTTAACAATGTATTTAGTGTTTTGCATTATAATTACCCATATGCTACCTTATTTATTGTTTCATATTCAAGCTTGATCTCTTGGCTTATTTAAGAGGAATTTTTATGAGTTTGTAAAATAAATGAATCAATTTTATACAAGAGAAACCAATGATTGAAAATAACCTAAGCCAATTATATACAGTCATTTTTTCTCTAATAATTTTCACAAAGATTCTCTTACTTTCACTTGTTTTAATTAAGATTCAACTTTAAGCTTTTTCCCAATATTCAAGGGGGAAATGAAAAAGGGTAACCTTAATTGATTTCGATTTCTTTGCACAATTATAAGATAGTGACTGTAAGAGCAGTTCTGTCTGCAGAATTTAAGCCAAGAAATCTGCAGAAATTAAGTGCTGATATTCTGCAAAACTAAGTTCCAGCTGCAGCATGAATTGGCCTTGTAATTTTTACTAGGATCGTTTTTCTTTTTCCCTTTTCTGTTTCAGGATTCATCACAGTGTTCATCAATGGAGTGCCAACGGAAGTTCCAAGAGGACCCCTTGATATGAAAGGCATGTTTGGTGAAGAAGTAGAGTTGGTTCACTCCTCAGGCGTGCCTATCCCCATGAACGAATTCGGCTTTTTACTCCAGACTTTGCAACACGGAGAAAGCTATTTCCTGGTAAGTGCATTCACCTTGTTAATCTAATATTGTTCGACTTGACTCCACGCAACTCAATTAAATTTGGTTTCGACTGAAAAGTTAGCCCTAACATGGATTTAAAAGTTTAGACCTTCATCCTTGGGAGTAAACCCTAATAACGGATTTTGAGGTTGAGACCAAAATGATTACATCTCATTCTTTATTGCAGGTTTCGAGAATAACTTAAATTTCAACATCTGCAATCCCTTCTTCTATTTTCAAGCTTCCGTCTCGTTTGTACTGAAATCGAGCTGCAAACAAGTGGGAGAGGCGCCGCTATTAAGATGATAATATGCAACTTTAAACTATATATGTAACAACAAGTCCCATGTTTCTATTTTGCTTTATTCATATATCTCTTGTTTCATAGGAGTTCAACTCAACCTCAATGTTACATATCCCAGGCGTGGATCCACAATGATGTACGCTTCATATTACATATGTTACATGTATTAGGTCAGAAAATATATGTATCCGTGTTTGTCTTCGTGCTCGTATATTTTTTTAATGTGACAATTAATATTTTATATTAATATATAATTTATATTGTTTTAATTTTTTATGTAACGTGATCAGCTATAATGAGATCATACAATTTATTTTACATAAACTCTAAACTTCATTAATAGACGCCTTACATTTGATGAAAATGTATTTGAATATTTAAACAGATACTTTTTTTAATTTTACCGACGACATTAGGAATCGGATAGGTTTTAGTTTAATAATATAAATTTACTAATTAGTTGAGGTGCATGGGCAGTACGTGGGTATTGCTGTGAGAGGAATTGTGGTTCAGTTTATAGAATCCAAAGAAAATAAAATAAGGCACTCCAGTCCTCACCACCGACCAATATAACCAATCTGAATCATACGGATGTTTTGTTTTTACCAATTATTTATTTGGTTTAATGAAAGGAAAAACAATTATTTATTTGGCACATTTACTCACACGGCCTCATGTGATCCCTCCCAACCTATACTTTTAAAACTTAAAATTATGTACGATTTTACACACCACACAATTGCTATTTTCCTACATTATTTTTTTTCTATTTTTTTCATTATAATGTTGTTAACAGTGCTATTGTTAAATGGATTATGTAGAAAAAAATCCAACAAAAAAAATGTATGGGTTAGAAAATTTTAATTGAGTTGGTACTTGATTAGATCGTTATATTGATTTTAATTAGAGTTTTAATAAATTTTTGGTATAACCATTTAGATTTGATTCACTAATCAATTAATCTAAATTGATTATAATAAAATTTTATTATAATTAGAATGACCTTTCAAATTCAATTTATATTATTTATAAGGTCGGAATTTAAATTTTACTAACTATATCGATTTGTTTAAATTCATCTGTAAAGTTTATTTTCCTCTTACTAACATGCGATTTAAATAGTTAAGTTTACTAAATTTCTAGATGTAATGAAATTTTAATAGAAAATGAACCTCTCACCCAAAACAATAGTTTGACATTTTCATCCGCACATACTTAATCTTTTTTTATATTTAGTTAATTAACAGAAAGGTAGTGAATAATAAAGTTTAAAATGTTAAAAGATAATTTATCTTGCGATAAAAATGCATAATACATAGGAAAAAATATGTATAATATATGCGAGGGTTCATAGATGGCACGCTGTCTTTATATAAATTTAACGTACTAAAAACAATATTTTTAAGTCTGGGTACGCGAAATCCCTGTATTTTTAAAAAGTAATTATTGTGTTCCTTATATTATTTTTTTAATGTAGTCTTTCAATCTAAAACAAATGTGTCATTTGACCAATATTTTTCGTCATTGACCAACATTACTGTAAATCATTCTCTAATATATGATACTCTAAGTTAACCATAAGTTTATGCAAAAACCACATCCGTGATTCTTTTCCTTCTCCTTCAACAATATGCCCATACAATCGGGATTTTATTTTTTCCATCTCTACCAGCAGTCACAAGCAGTATTCCCTTTGTAACAGATTTGATGAAGAATCTACGTCGACATGAATTAATGGAACCGTTGATCAATGACATAAAACTTTGGTCAAAGGGTTACATTAGGTTTTTTTTGAGTTAAAGGGCCACATTGAGAGAAAAAATAGTACAAGGGCCCCTTTAGTTTTTTTTCCTTAAAAATATAGAAACTTATACGAAGAGTGCAATTACATTTATTTTGAATATATTGAGTGATTTTCTTAAAAGGATCCAAGTTAGTGTAGTTATGTTTATAAGTTGTATATGTTATTAATAATTAAAAAAATTACGAACAAATATTATCTTATAATCATTCATCCTACACTATTAAGAAACAATAACATTTATTTTTTTAAAATAACTCGTAAGGATTAATTATAAGTTTTATTTATTGAATAAACTACACATTTATTCATCCAATCATTTGTGCAGTTCCGTTTTGATTACCCAATTATTTTTTTAATGGCAGATGAACAAAATGAAACCAAAACGTTACGTTCAGTACGATTTTGAAAAAAATTGACAAGTCATCAATTTCGTTAGCTTTTTAACGGTGGGTAACCAAAACGTGATGTTAGGTGTGATTTGAAACAAATAATAATTAGATGATCAAAACGGAACATCTCAAATAATTGGGTGACTAAATATTGTAGTTTACCATTATTTATTTAAGGTTGGCAGTGGCAAGCCGTTGCTTAAAAATGAAAAATATCCCAATGGATTAAAACCCAATTAATACGGGAAGATTAAAGGTCTACATTTGTTCTAATTTGTTGGGCCTTAAATCAAAATATTTGCTCGTAGTTATTTCACTTTTGCAAGAATTATTTACGGGAAGGTCAAAATACCTAAACCCGACAGGTTTCAACTCGACTCGACTCCTATAATTTTTTTGTTGTAAATTTTGGGTTCGGAGTGGGGCGGGGCAGATAATAGGTAGGTTAGGGGCGGGCTGGGGCCGAGTTTAAGGTGAAAAACAACCGACCCACCAAGTTATATATATATATATTTAAGATTTTAAATATTTTTATTTTTATAATGTTAAAATATATTATTTAATTATTAAAAATATAATAATTATTATAAAAGATATTATTTTAATAATTTTAAAAATAATAAATAAATATATTAATATAAAATATATTGTCGGAACGATCCTTAAGCTTTTTGGGGTTAAAATGAGATCGAACCAACTTAATTTTAAAACAATGGTTTAGGAAAACAAATTTGGAGTCGCCATCGACATTTGAGTTAAGTAGGTCGAATACCCAAAGAAATTACATTTTAAAATAATTTTAGAAAAATTAAATTAAAAGATAAAAAAGAAATCAGTCTGCGTTAAACCATAAATTTATTTTAAAAAGGGTTCGGAGTCGATTACGCGTAGAGAATGGCGAGCACCCCCACGGCGCCCAGAATTGGTACTCAATTGATTATACGTCGCTTTTATGTTTGATAATTGTAAATTTTAGTATTTAAATTATTATCTTTATACATGAACAATCATCAGAAACACACATCCCTTGTATTCGAGAGACTTTTCCATAGATTCCTCATATAAGGATTATTATCTTAATTCTCTAAAAAAATAGAATAAAAGGATTCCCTTTTGTGTGAACATCCTCGGAAATGTGCTTCCCTTGTATTCGAGAGACTTTTCCATAGATTCCCCACACAAAACGACATTTCCTTGATTTGTTTAGTAAATAATGTATACTAGATACATTACATATTAATAATATAAAGTACAGGGACCAAAAGGCAAATGAAATAAATTACATGCACTAGAAATGAAACAAAGCTCAAAAATAACATGAGGGGCTAATATTAAGGCACAATAAAATAAAAAGCTCAAACTAATAAAACAAACAAAAAATGCTGAAATTAAAAAAGGACAGAAATACAAATACTAGAAATTTAAAGGACATGAATTAAAGTACATAAAATTAAAGACATAAATGTAAATAGAAAAAATAAAGTAAAATTTGAAAAAAAAGAAAAAAAGGGATGAAATATAAATATAAAAAAATAAAGAGAAATAAATGCAAATAATAAAAAAATAAACTGCTTACATATAAATAACAGAAATGTAAAATCGAATAAAAATAAAAGATAGTGGCAGTAAGTGAGAAGCTAGCAGTTATTTTTTATAATTTTATCCAGACAATAAATAATGCAGATCTTAGCCCATAGCAACTCACCACAAGGTCGTAGAATGATTCGAATGTGAAAATAAAAAATTTAATAAGTTAGCAATTAGTAGGTTAGTAAAACAATTAGCAGTTAGTATGTTAGAAGTTAGGGGTTAGTAAAAAAATAATAAATAAACTTGAAATAAATAAAAAAAACAGTGACCAAATCAAAACAAATATGAAGCAACAGATCCAATTTAAAATAAATAAAAAAAGAAAAAACAATACAATGGTGACCAAATTGGAAATGAGCAAAATCATGGCATCAGAATTGAAATAAAATAAAAACGAGACAACCTAGTGACCAAAACATAAAACACGCTAAACCTAGGAGGATCCATGCGTAGTTTTAACCTAAAGTTCAGCTATAAAACCAATTTTTTTGTTTCAAACTCTCAAAATCTTCTCCCTTCTTATTCTCAACGGTCGAGAAACCCTAATGACCTAAAGCTCCACCACCGACCACCACCAACGGTGGGTTTGACTCCGAACGCCCTAAAATCTCACCAATTTCTTCTTTTATCCTCGATTTGATCCCTAAAAGCTCAGAAACAAACCTTAACTCCCTTTTTCTCTTTTAATCAATACTCTTAAGACCCTATTACTATCGTAAATTAACCATTTAACCCCAACTCCAACCACCATTAACCAGAGCTAAACATAACCTAGCCAACCAGACCTAAATGAAACTTAGCTTCATCTCCCTAATTTAAACCCTTACAACTGAACCCCTCTAAAATGATCCTGACTCTCGGGTTCTGTCGACGTCGGTGATGCTCTCACTACTCCCGTGAAGAAGACTCAATTGATAGGTAAACTACTCACCTTTCCTATATGATTTTTGGGTTTCGAAAAAAAGAAAATAATAAAAAAAGATTGTTGAGACAACATATTTGAATACCTCTAAAATTTTATTGCTCGTTCTCTTCTTCGTGAAAATTAGGGGAGAGAAATCCCTTACAATTGTTTGTTGTGGGTTTATATACCCGGATTTACAAAAATTCCTCAAAAAAATTAAAAATTACAAAATTTGTTTTTTTTTGTTTGCATGCAATCACCCGTGTGAGGCCGTTGGGATTTGGCAG